AAATACTCACTGTTTCTTTAAATTACCTTTAATTAAGATATTTTTCTTTCTCTTTTCTCCCCTTGTTGTCTTATGTTGGTAGCTAGTTAATCCTGAATCTCTAATAAATGCAAATAGATTAAAGAAAATCATGAGTTCAAGATTATTTTAACTTCAGTGGCATAATTGCTAATATCTTCTTTGTCCCCTGGGATACGCAGGATTGCATCAATTAAATTGGTCTGTGTAAGTGAACACAGTAACCAGAAATGTGACTATTGTGTCTTCATCAGCCCCCTTTAGGTGTTTAATTTGCCTGGCTGTAATAGATTGTGAGAGCAGTAAACGTGAGGCAAGTAATGTAAACGGTATAATGATGGTAATTATCTGAATGGATCGATTGTAGTGTTATTGCGACGTGATATTGTGGATAGGAATGAGATATAGACATCTCATATAAATTCCCATTTTCAGCTTTATTTCCTTACATATTTTTTCCAAGACATTTAAAGTGAAAACAATGTAAAGCTCCACCGCCATTCTCCCCTTTATCTCTTCCTGTTATCCTTTGCACTGTTGCCTTACGAACACTAGCAGCCCCCACAAAAGCTAAATTTCTCCAAAGAAATCAATGACTTTGTATTATTGCAGTGTTAGCATTTTCCCCTTGTGATTCACGGTACCCAAATATTTGAATTGGAAGTCATTTTGTAGATTGGCTAGTTTGGTCTCTTCATTTATTAACTAAAGAACTGTAAAGCCAGCAAAGTGAAATGACTTGCTAAAGATTACACAACTGACATTGCCCAGTAAAAACTACAACAGTAAAACTAGAACCTGGGCTTGGGGGGAGGGAAGGGCTTCTATGAGCTGCAGGTACAGAGAAGGGTCAGTGTGACCAGCCAGGAGCAATCCCTGAAGGAAACAGCAATAAGTCAGTGTAGTTTGAGTAGAGAATAAAAAAGCAGTAACAGTCTAGGGGTAATGAGTAAGTGTGCTTAGAAAGTCCACACGGACACTGGCCTGCAGGCAGAAGGAGCAGGCTGTGTATCAGGTATCTATCCAAGGTGAGAACTGGAAAATGTGTCAGGACCCCACCCCAGAGACTGCTGGGTTGGGGGCCAGTCACTCAAACAAGGATTCAGGCCCAGCAGAATAAGGATGAAACCTACGATTAAATCTGAAGCCTGAATAACATGTGGTGTTGGGAATTCCTGAGACTTGATCTGTGACTAGGTAGAAATGACCTGACCTTGAACAAGATAGTGAAAACTGGCAAAGCCCAGCAGTTTTTCTTAACTTTTATGCCCCATCCTGGTCCAATCACTTTTCCTGAGTTTCATTGTTGATTCGAGTAAAGAAACTGGCCTGCGCTGGAAAATTTTCCTGCATCTGCCAAGGAAACATTCAAATCACCAGGAAAAACAAATAAAACCACACAAAACCCATGTCTTCTGCATTATCAAAAAAAGTGACCACTCAAGTTTCCAACTGTTTGAAGGAGAAAAATAAACACCAGTGGGAGCAGAGGACACCAAGGAAAACACACCTAGAATTAGAAAACCTGAGGTCCATGGCCAACCTGAAGGCAGAGGGAGGCGGGACAGTTCACTGCTGGCTGTAGAGCAGGGTGGGGAGGTGTGCAGACCCCAGCTGGCTGTCTCAGAGCAGTACATGCCTGGGGAGTCAGAGGTAAAGGGAAACGAGGAGGGGCCTTGGGGAAATGTGGTTGTGGATGGGAAAAAGAAGAGGGGATCTGAACTGCTATGGCAATAGAGCAGACTACAGGCCAGCCTCCCTAACCAGCAGCCATTCAGGAGACTCCAACAAGGGGAGAGAGAGGGTACAAGAGGCCAGTGTGGCTATGACATGCTCTGATAAAACAAGGAATGAGCTGAGAACATGGTAGAGAAAAAGAAGAAAAGGTGATTGTTGCACATGTAAGAGACAGAGTCAAAGGGCATGATTTTAAACTAGACAATAACAGATACAAGAAGATGAAAAAGAAAATAGTGACACTATTAACAGTCTGGCAAGAGGTGGTCGGCACAGGGAGGAGAGGGAGAGGCACTTCACTACACTGAGAGTGTACCTTCTAGTATAGTCTGACTTTGGGAATCATGTCAATGTTTTATATATTTAAAAAAGTAAAATGACATCAAGAGAAGCAGAAATTAAATTTGAATATTATCAGAAAAATGAACTAAACTGAATTTCAAATGAATAACATAACCCACACTAAAGGGGAACGAGGGCAAAAACCAATCTAGTAGCTTTCAAACAAAGTAGTTCAAAGACAGACAGAAATGTGAACTCTTCTTGTAGTGTTTTATGTAGTGTAACAATTCTGTGCACATGGCAGGATTGAAAAAAGTCAGTAGATACGATGATGTTGGGAGCCTGTGTTCTTAGGTATAAGAAGAAAGATACAAATATGGAAAGAATGAGTCAAGGATGAATTTTGTGGGGTTTGAGGGGGGTTGGGGAGATAAGTGTGCATGTGTGTGCACGTGTGCATATGGAGGGAAAGAAAATCCTTCCACTGAGAGGAAGTAGAAACTCGTTCCTCACTAGCAATTAGAGAAAGTTAAAGCCTAGATCTTGGTTTCTAAATAGCATTTATCTACTAAAAGAAAGTAGGATTCCTGGGAGAAATGGCTGATTTCAAGGATAGGGCAAGGAAAAACAAAATGGGCCCGGAATATCCCTGTGCCGAAAAAGAAAGTGTTTTTAAAATGATGTTTACATGTTAAAAGTAGATAAACACCACCAGCTCAAAAGAGCTCACCTGCCCAAACTGGGGCATGGCAGTTTGAACATCAAAATTAATACTGGTAGTAATGACTCAGGGCCCCTGTAATATAAGAACCCATATACGCATACTGATAAATACATAGGGGAAACCCTTCCTTATGATAAACTCATAGCTGTAGATAGAAGAATGGAGTTAGAGATCACCATTCATAACCCAGGTAATCATAGATTCAGCAAGAATCATCAGTGGTTGCTGTGGGTGAAATGGATGAAAGTTTGATGAGCAATAGAGTATTTTCATAGTCTTGAAGTATCGCCTCACAAACTACTCATTAATTATAGAAGTAAAGACGTAACTTTATAAGGGAGAGATATGGCTGATCCCACCTTAACCAAATGATGAAGGTTAGCATGCCCAGCATGGGACGCATGGGCACCGGGTGACCGGCACAGCACCCTGAGAAGAGCCCAGCTTGCTGCTGTGCTATTCCTGCCAAGTGTACATAAGGGAGCTTTAGATAAACCCAAATTAAGGGATGTGCTGCAAAATAACTGGTTTTTATTCAGAAAGGAGAAGGGAAGAAGGTAATAATCAATAGCATAAAAAGACAAGATAACAGACTAAAGGGTGTTGGACGAACAACAGTGGCAGCTGAATGCAGGGCAGGACTGTGGATAGGACTGTGGAAACAGTTGGCATAAAGGACATTACTGGGACAGTCGACAAAATTGCCAGGAGGACTAGAGATCAGATTGTATTTCCTAAAGTTGACAGCTGTACTGTGGTTGTGTGAGATAATGTCTTTGTCGTTTGGAAATACATGTGGAAGTACTTAGGGATAAAGGGCATCTTGTCTGCAGGTTACTCTTAAGGTTCAGGGAAACAATTTGAGAGAGAAAGGGAATGGCAGATATGGCAAAATGTTAACAATTAGGGAATCTAAGAAACGGTATGTGAGAGTTCTTTATATTTCTTGCAGATTGTCTGTAAGTTTAAAATTATTTTCAAATAAAAAGTTTAAAAGACTGGTGGAGAGGGCAACTCAGTAGGTAGGGCGCCAGCCCCATATACTGAGGGTGGCATGTTTGAACCCAGCTCCGGCCAAACTGCAACAAAAAAATAGCTGGGCGTTGTGGTGGGCGCCTGTAGTCCCAGCTATTCAGGAGGTTGAGACAAGAGAATCGCCTTTGCCCAGGAGTTGAAGGTTGCTGTAAGCTGTGACGCCACAGCACTCTACCCAGGGTGATGAAATAAGGCTCTGTCTCTAAAAAAATAAAAAATTTTAAAAATTTAAAAAAAAATGGTGGGGAGAAATCATGAAAATAAATATTGATCTGGGTACCACCTAAACATCATACTGTACTTTTGAAAATGCTGGTTTGAAGTTCATTACCCCAACTTCCAAATGTCAAGGAGAGTTGTAGGGAAGGACTATTTTGAAACAAATGTGCTCAAGGGGTTGGGGCAGGTGGTCCTTGATACAGCACAGGGAGGGGTTACCTTGCACGGTTCAGGATTCAGACAGGAGCTTGGAAGGGCTGCAGTGGAAACAGCTCAGCAGATGTGGAAAGAAGTTCACATGCCACCATCTTGTGCTCCTTCTAAACCTGGTATTGCTTTTATTTTCCTCTTGCTGTTCAGCAGGGTAACCTAGTAACCATATTCAATATCCACATACCTACATGGCTCTGAGAAATATGAAAGCAGTAATTTTAACAAAGAGGGAGTGGTGAGAGGGATACTTGAGTACAGTTCAAGTCTTACATTTCTCATTATCTTTTTATGTTCAAAAGTCATTGATTAACAATGAAAATAACATATTTAGTTTGCATTTGGAATTATGCTTTCAGGACTTTACCTGTGATATTTTTCTGTGGCCTAAACAAATATTAGACTGTGAGACTGTGACACATCTTAATGAAGTGGATTAAGGCATTTCTTACATTTACATTTTCATAGAATGAAATAAACATGGTAATCTTTTTCACAGAACATTCTCACACCAAGCCATGATTTGATTTTCTACCTGTTCAGAATACCAAGTTTTGTGTTTCTTTAAATTGTAATATATTCTCGTGAGCAAGTCAGTAAGACAGAAGTCATCCCTGAGATATTTATGATAGTACTTAGATCAAACTTGTCAAAGGTACTTCTAAAAGATTGTTTTGGATCCTGAGGAGATATATTTAGTAAGTGTATTGAATAAGTTGTCACATAACACAACATTTCATTGATTTATTTGTGTTATTTTTGTATGTTACCGCAGGCAGAGAATTCAGCCTTGGCTTTGGAAAATGAAAATCAAAGAGAACAGTATGAAAGATGTCTTGATGAGGTAAGAAGGATGGAGAGGCTCCTGATCAGAGGCTGGACTAGTTAGAGTCCTCTTTATCAGATATTAGTACGTGTGTGTTACCACCCTCCACAGAACACCAGCAAAGGCAAGTTTTCAACATGTGACCAGTAGGAAGAAAGGATCAGAGAGTATGTGTGTGAGTGTGTGTGTGTGTGTGCGCGCGTGTGTCTGTGTGTGTGCATGCATGAGTCAGCTTCCCTCCCTCCCAAATTCCTAATCCCAGCCAGGCATTTACATGTTCCTTTGGCTATTGTTAAATATTCTTGGGCCACGGTTGGGGTTGCTTCATTGTATAAGTTCCTCTGTCCAATAAGCATTTTCCCTATGAATGAGATGAGGAAAACCAAGTCAGGGCATGTTGGACCACCATTTATGAAAAAGCAAGTTCTTGACAGAGTGGGTGGAAACGATATTCACAGTTGGCAGCCAGAGGAAAAAATCAGTTGAGAACATGCCAGGAAGAGAGTGGGAACTGAGGAAGAAAATGTGAGTAGATTGGGAGAAGACAGGACCACACACATGAGTAAACTTTATAAATATTATTTGTAAATAATGAAGAGATGAGGACTAAGATGGTTTCTAGCAGGCAAGGGGATAATTGAAGGGGGCACAGATTCCTCTTCCTCCCCTCACACATCAGGGACTGTACCAACAATTCATGCTGTATTTTCCTACGGGGACTGGCCATTCACCTCCCTGACAAGTGTTCACCTGAGACTTGTGAGTGATTACAGTCATCATTTACATGGGGTAACTTCTTTAGTAACTACCCAGTACCCTAAAACTCACAGTGTTCTGAGAGGCTCAGTTTGAGGTGTGTGACAATGTAGCTGATACAAAATTTATGAAAATGAAAGAAAACTGTATTTAATTGGGTTCTATTACTTTAGCAGTGGGAATTACCAATATATGTTGTTTTTTTTTTCTCCTTATTAACCTCAGGAAAACCTTTTCCAGTAAATTCCTCTTGCTATTTCCTACCCTGTCCATTCCTCATTTCTCCCATACACTGTTCCAGAGGTTGATGGGGGGATAATAAAGAACTCCAGCTCAGATCCCAGCTATGGCATGAGTCTAGCACTGAAACATCTCCTGTCCCTTCAAACCAGACGTGGTTTCTCTCCTCTGAGTTTGGTATCACTTGGTACTGCCCCACACCAGTGGTTCTTAAAATGTGATCCCTGGACCAGTGACACCAGCCTCCCCTGGGACCTTGTTAGGAATGCAGATTCTCAGGCCCTGCCCCAAACCTACAGAATCAGAGCCTTTGGGGTGGGGCCCTGTGACCTGTGTGTCAACACGTGCTCTAGATGGTGCTGATGCACTCACCAGTTGGCGCAACTGTCCACATAGCACAGGCTACTTTGTATGAGTTACTTATATGTGGTTGAAGAACTCGCAGAACATCCCCAGAAAATTATCTAGTTACTTAACATTGGATATTTTAATTGTTTAATATTCACAGTCACACACATTGGTTACTCAAGAAAAATGGTGTTGGCAATTCTCTGTCCTTTCAGAACTTAAGAAGATCAGAATAAGCTTTACAATGTCCAAAGTTAAAAGAATCACAAAATGAATTGTCTCTGACATGGCTCAGCGTCTGATGAGGCCAGTTCAGCATCCATCACCTCTACTCCTGGAGCTCTTGGTCCAATCAAAGTTAAGGGCAAGGCAGACTAAATAGAGCAAAGGGTATTTAAAGGAACACACAGTGCCCTTGGGTCATATGTATTGATCAACGAAGTTTCACTTTAACCTCCTGCACAGAAATTCCTAAAGAAACTTCATTTGTATTCAGAAGCCAAATTTATGTGATTCACACCACAGAAACTTCTTATTTGTCACAATTCTTCCACAGCCCCCCAAACCTTCCACCAAAAAGCTCGCAACATATCATAGAAACTCATAGCCTGTTTTCTGTGGGTGCTCCATGCCTGCATACTGTAGGTTTATCCAAGTCCGTGGGACAAAATGTAAGTTTTGCCTACAAAATCATTTCATATAATGTTTCCACTGAAGACAGACATTTTAAAGGGAAAGTCCCTCTGTTCTTAATTGCAAAAATTAATGGTTGCCAAAGAGGGGGCTTGCTGCAAAAACCCCCTCTAAGCAATAGAAATGTTCTGTATTCATGAACACGGGCCCTGATTACACATGCCAGTTGTTTGGTAATTAATTGCATGAGAGTAGACAATCCATTTCTATGCGTTATAAGAAAACACTCTCAAAGGGGTAGTTGAATGTAGTAATAATGCCAGCTGGAAATTCTTTTCAAGGCTTTTTATACTAATTAGACAAACTAACAAGGTAAGGCCTCATGTAAGTTATTTCCTTGCTAGTGGGTTTCATAAAACATAGGAGTGGATAAAATGTCAGTTAAAAACGTTCTTCAATCCTTTTTGCACTGATTATTATTTTCTGGAAAATGAAAAACCTATTGAGGATTTGGGAGGGGAATGCTTTAGAATCTGAAATTCCCTCTGTGTGTTCTAATAAAAGGTTGCATTTTTTCAGAAGGAAACAGATCCACGTTCCTAGACACACACACACCCTCACTTACTGGATGCACACTTACTCCTCACCGTCCCCTCTGCTGCTCCTTAACGCGTCTCCTCGCCTTGCAGGCAAAACCAAGGATTAACTCTTGCAGCATCCTTCTTGCCTTAAACTTTGATTGGACCAAGAGCCCCAGGAACAGAGAGGCGAGGGATGCAGAACCAAGGATTAACTCGATTTCCCTTGGGAGTTTGGAGTTTTTCATGTTTAAATCTAATTCCTTAGTATAGCTGTTTGACAGTTTACGAGCAAATCATGAATTTCTATTTATGAAACTGGCCACAGTTTCTTTCAAACCAACTATACCCATGTAAAGAAGTATAATGAGGCCGGATGTGGTGGCTCACTCCTATAATCCTAGCACTCTGGGAGGTTGAGATAGGTGTATTGCTTGAGCTCAGGAGTTTGAGACCAACCTGAGCAAGGGCAAGACCCTGTCTCTACTAAAAAAATAGAAAAACTGGCCAAGCATGATGGCAGGCACCTGTAGTCCCAAAGTCTGAGGCAAGAGGACTGCTCAACCCCAAGCATTTGAGGTTGCTGTGAGCTACGATGTTACCATGGTGCTGTATCTACCTAGGGCAACAGGGTAAGACTGTCTCATACACACACACACACACACACACACACACACGTATAATGAAACACGTTAAATCATAAAATCAGTAAAATAACATCTCTGATCCCTGCTTTGCATTTAGAGAGATGCAGTAGTGTCTTATAAACCTTTATTGGCTGTTGGCCTTACACAGGCCCTGGGAGCTCAATGTTGCTCCCAGCCTGGCAGGAGAGTTGAGAGGGTTGTATAGTTATAGAGTAACGAAGTGACAGAAACTCACAGAGCCACCCAGGTGCACTGGGAACTTTGGGGACATGGAGTGCAGTCAGTAGAAGGCAGGTGAAGCCTTGGGTGGGTGAGCAGGGAAGGGTACAGAACTGGAAAGGTATCTTCAGCAGAAATAGCTCGAATAAGTGAGGTTTGAGATCCAAAAGGCAAGTACATCTCATCCTAACCTGTTCGATGGACTTACCTGGGGACCTTTAAACTCTGCTGGCTAAGTGATTCTGGTCTAAAGTAGAACCTGGACATTCAGATTTTTTCAAGTACTGCCAGGGATTGTAATATTCAGCCAAGGCTAAAAAACTTGCAATTAGATTCTCTGAGTTCTGTGTGTTAGACATTTTCAGTATTTTTCAGTAGGAGGATGAAAGCTCTGTCCCCAAGCTGAGATGTAAGGTTAGAAGAGCACGGACCTTTGTGGCAATTTTGGTGTACTGCTGATTTTTCAACAGTGTCTGAGTTAATACAAAACTATAAGCCAAAAAAAAAAAAAAAGGAAACCACATCCCAGAGTTTCTCAAAGTGCATTCCTGGGAGCCCTCCCATCTTGCCCAGAAAGATGTGTGGTGATTGCTAAAAATTCTTACATTTCACTCAGCCCTTTCCACTCATTATGTGGGGGAAGGAAATTGATGATTTTCACAGACATTCCAAAGGGAGCTTCTACACACAAAGTGGAGAAACCACCCTCCTCTTCAGACCATCAGAGCTGAGCCCAAGTCCCTACAGTCAGGGAGGATGCCAGAGTCGAGTTCCCCAATTTCCACACTTTAGAGCCCAAAGGTATGGAAAAATAGACCTTTGGATATAGCTCAGAAATAGAAAAACACACCAGAGTTTCTTCTAAACCTAGGCTAAATAAAGGTGGAAGTCAGTTGTTAAGAACAGTTTTCATCTATCCTTCTGATCCTAGACTGGATTGTGGAATCATTTCCAGGACCTTCTTATGTACATCCCCCACCTGGGCCCCACATAATCTTTAAAATTAATTTCTTGATAGACATAGATAGAAAATAACTGATGATCTCTTCTTGTTTGCCCCCAACTCTAACCACTGTGAAGCAGCACCTACACTCTCTTGCCCATTATTTCTCCAGGACCTGGAAGATTCTTGGCCCATGTTAACTGCTTTATGTATATATGTTGAAATGACTGAGTGAACGTTTCAGTGAATGGAGAATATCAGCAGGAAACTAATTTCCAAATTAGTTTTTCCCAAAATTCCACAGACATATTTAGACTAACTTTAGTTATCTTCTCAAAGATGAACTCTCATTTATTATGTGTCAGCCCCCCAAATAATCCAAAGACTAAATCATCTGGAAAAAAATACCAAGCCTCTCAAGAGACTCTGATTTTATTAGAAGAGACCACACGGACTTTGGATCAGGAAGACTGGGGTTCAGATGCTGTTACAGCCACCCTATTTTTGTGTCACACTGAGCAGTGTACTTACTTCTTTCAGTTTCTCAGTTTCTCATTTGTATCTTAATCTTATAGGATTATAAAATACAAGGTAAATTAATATAGGTACTTAGTGACATGTTTATATGTGTATATTATGTGTGCATACATGCGCATACGCACACCTTATTCCCTTACAAATAAAATTTCTTATTCTTAAACTGCTTGCTTGAAAATGCATTCTCTGGAGTTTGACTGTCCTGATTCACACTTAACATTTATGGGGCAAGGTCCTGTCATCTATCGGGTCCTGTCCTAGGTGGTGATTATGTCTATCATCTGAGGAATTTTTCACAGCTGTAGAGGTAAATAATCCCCGTTTTGTGGCTGAGAACAGTCAGGCTGTGTTCCCCTCCAGTAGATGAGATGGCAGTATACAAAATTAACATAGCCAGTTTTGTTTTTTTTAATTAAATCATAGCTGTGTACATTAATAATGTCATGGGGTACAGTGTGCTGTTTTTATATACAATTTGAAATATTTTCATCAAACTGGTTAACATAGCCTTCATGTCATTTTCTTAGTTACTGTGTTAAGACATTTATATTCTACATTTAGAAAGATTCACATGTACCCTTGTAAGGTGAACCATAGGCGTGATCCCACCAATCACCCTCCCTCCACCCATCCTCCCCCTTCCCCTCCCCTTAACATAGCCAGTTATATTAACCCAAGTCTTTGTTGTGATCTGGTCAATATTTCTCATGTTTTCCTCCAGCTACCTCAGCTCAGAAGCATAGAAAATTTCTTCAAAGCACCTTTTCAAAAACATGTGATTTTTGGCCCAGGTTTTTAAGTGACCCTGCTGATGGTGACAGTTGCTTTGCATGATGAAATAGCACATGAAAGCCTGGAGGGGAGTCCACAGGCAGGAGGAGAATCCCATCAAAGACCTTTTGAGCTGCTTATTCCCCCACCCATCACCCTGAAGCTCTGCACCCTCTGCCCCTGGCCGTGGCTGTCTTCTCAAGGTGGTGGGATCTGAATCAGTGCCCTAGTGTGGCTTCTCATTCAGTCGCAAGAACTATTTGGCAATAAAATGACAGACAGCTCCGTAGTCTCATTTCCTCCTTTTCCCTACGCCCTTCTAGGGAAGTGTGTGGAGAAATGAGGAACCCTGGAAATTTGGCCAGGAAGAAAAGCAGCCAGGCCTCAGAGGAGCCGGCTTGTCTGAGAGAATTCTTGCTGAGAAAGAAGCAGGCAATGTACTCGGGCCTTCTGCTGGGCATTTGTGTCTCACCCGCATTCCTGCTCCATCTCCTGATATTCTGAGGAAGGCATAAGGCAAGCCAAGGGCTTCAGGAAAACCAGCTTTGCTCAGTACAGCTCGAGTCCTCTGGCTCAGTCTAGCTGCCATTTTTCTTTCATTTGGGGAGGAAAGTTGGCAGGTGACACTGGAAGTGATTTGTTCTCATTAGCTGGGTATATGGGTATGTGATTATTAGCAACCCAAGTGCTTAGGGCACAATGCCAGGAGGAGGACAGAGGCCCATTTTGAGCATTATCCTGCAAGTCTGTTAGAGGTTAGAGGCACATATTCCAAACAACTGTTCTATTGATAGATCTGAGAAGTTAGTTATTAAAAATAGTAACAAAGCCTAGGACATTACCATTATAGACAATACAGAGGAAAGCATTTGAACAACCTTCCTCCTCTCCTGCAAAGAACCTTTGAGTCCTCCTGGGTAATATAACCCCATATCCATAGGTAAAGAAATAATGCATTTGTGTATCTTTGTTCAGTTTTCAGGTAAAGCAGAGAATATGCCAGAAGAAACTGTTTCAGATATAGTCTGCAAACCTATAGGGCAACTGCTTAGATTACAGATATATAACATGTGTCCTCCTGTGGGCTGTTATAGTTAGGATTTTAGTCTATGTCTCCTGTTAAATTGTGGATAGAGCCATTTTATGTGACTGCAGTTACATAGAATTGGTTTAAGTGGGAGACCAGTTGTGAGAAAGAAAAGAAAATTTTGATATTGGACAGTTTTATGAGAATGTAAATCAAATCCAAAGTTTGAGATCCAGAAGAAGTAAATTATTTATGGTATGAATTAACTTTGGTACATTGCTCCTGATTTCAACCTACATGAGTAGTTCAATTCTTCTGTTTTGTTTTGTTTTATTTGCCAACAATAAAATAGGTGACTTACAGTTTGACTTTAAATTCTTAGTTTCTTATGAGTTGGAATAAATGTATAAAAACTGAAAGATTTTCACAATTATGCTATTGGTCAATTTTATGGGCTGCATAACATTTATCACTATTGTGATCGCTTATAAATAAAGTGATAGAGGCAAAATAACAGAGCAGTTAATGAAAGAATGGTTTCTTCTGGCTTGGCGCCTATAGCTCAACCGGCTAAGGCGCCAGCCACGTACGCCTAAGGTGGCGGGTTCGAATCCCCAGCCCGGACCTGCCAAACAACAATGACGGCTGCAACCAAAAAATAGCCAGGCGCTGTGGCGGGCGCCTGTGGTCCCAGCTACTTGGGAGGCGGAGGCAGGAGATTCGCTTGAGCTCAGGAGTTGGAGGTTGCTGTGAGCTGTAATGCCATGGCACTCTACCCAGGGGGACAGCTTGAGGCTCTGTCTCAAAAAAAAAAAAAAAAAGAATGGTTTCTTTTGGTCAGTGGCAGTTCATGAGTATCCTTCTTTAACTTAAACTTCATTTAAAAATACCTAAGAAAGTCCTTTGTTTTTTACTTAATGACAACAGTGTAAATTTGGAAAGACTTCTGATGGAGAAAGAAATCCCTCTTGTGCATACAGTTTAATCAATTATGGATAATCTGATTTATTTAAAGTCATTTACTGCTTGTGGTGTGACTGCCTCCTAATCAAAAGTTGATGACAGCCTGTGTCGTAATTTTCTGAGACTTACTAGTAGCCAACTGTCATTAAGGATGTGCTGTTTTGTCAATATTGAGTCAAGAAACAATTAAGCTCCATGAAAACATTCTTACTGTATAATCTGTTGCACTATACTAGACAGGGAAATAAGTACAAATAGTTTGGCATCACCAAATGGAAAAAGAGGATGAAAATGTGTCCCTCAGTTTTTGGTTGAATGTGAGAATTACTATGATGATTAGGCATTTTTCACACTGTGTTGTACTGTCTTTTTGCCAACCTGCTACCCATTATCACTCTTTGAAGTCAAGAACCAGAGCTCAGTCCTCTAGCTTTGCAAGTAGATACTAAGACAATTGATGTTAAATAAATTCAGGAAGGAATTAATGAACCAGAAGCCCCTTAAGTCTAGGAAAGTTAGGTATTCTGACTTGGTCTTTAATGCTATCAGTGTCAGTTATCACATGAAATGTTTACAGTTTATGGATTGCTGAAAATAGACCACCTACTTTACCCGTCCACCATAATTATCAACAGTAGCTGTGTGGGTACATAGCTCAAAGGTTATATTGACGTGTGGTAGGTAGTTCTACATCAAGTGTTTGAAGTTTGCAGATGAAATAGAAATTTTAGCACAAATACATAGATGATTGGTTATCTGGAGAAAATGCCAGATCCTTGAAATACCAGGGATATGTTATGTTTTACCTGTGGCCCTTAGCTGAGATTGTGTGATATGCCTAGTCCTAAACCAGTCACTGAAAAGGAATGAAATTGCCAAGATTGGCTTAGATGAATCAAGATTCACTGCCTTGGGCTGAGGAGGAACCCAGCTTGCATTTGTGTCCTGAGCTATCTAATACCTGAGGAAAGTTGGGGTTGTTAATATATTAGTAAGGATTATATCTGCTTGTATATTAGAAGGAACTCAAACTAATGGTGACTCTTATATTTCTTTCTCACATAGAAGTTCTGTGAATAATACAGTTCCATGATATCCTCAGGACTAGGCTTGTCCTATTTTTTTGCCCAGAAATGCTAAATCTGTGACTTTAATTGTCAAGGTAGCTGCTAAAGCTCCAGCCATAACTGTAATTTGTGTCCCAGACTGGAAAAGGAAAAAGAAGAGTAAGGCCCCTTTCTCTTAAAGACTTCCTGTAAATCCAAGAGTCTGCTTCTGTCTTATTGGCCAGAACTCTGTCACATGGGGACACTTAGCTACAAGAGAGGCTGGGAAATGTACTTAAAGGTACCCAGCCAATTGGAGTTTGTTACTCAGGAAGAAAGGGGAAATGGATGTCAGAGTAAATAACTACCAGAATCTGTTACAACAGGTAGCAATGACAAGAGAATGGCATAAGTAAAGACATTGAGGTTGAAAGCAGGGCATATAGGGCATAGCCAGTTGTCCCTATTCTCGGCCATTCAACCCAGCTCTACTGCAGGTAATTTTAAGCAGTGAAATAGACAGCAAAGGAATCGGAAGGCAAGGCAGAGGACGTGGTAAATCGGCAAAGTGTAGAAACTGTGTACAGATAATTAGGATTGTGTTTTGCACTGTCATATTTTAGCCTTTTTGGAGTACTTTACAATATGAAAGTACAATATGAAAGGATATTGTTTTTCTAAATATGGAAACGTGGAAGTCAAGGTATGAATGATCTTTCAAGCCTAACCATCTTAATTAGCAACAAGGTCACCTTTGGAAAAAGCGAAATATTGCTGAGAAGAATAGGCTTATTATGAAAAGAGGCCGATCCTGGAAGTGGAGGGAAAAGGCAGTTGAGGAGCTAATTAGCTACAATAAGCTGTGGGAAACTTATGGGCAAATTAGAGTCCATACATACAAAGTTTCAGTATTATTTATGGTGACTTTTTCCTTTATTTTTTTAAGGTAGCCAACCAAGTTGTTCAAGCTCTGCTCACTCAAAAGGTAGGTCACTTTCTGGCTTTGGTCTTTTCGGGGTACTCATATCACTAGATCAGAACTCATGTTGTCAGACCTAGAAATTGTGATTGACAAATGCGATACTTTCATATTTGTTTGTGTAGGTTAAAACCATGTGGTTTTAGTCTGAAGTAACATCAATGATCAATAGAATCATGAAACTCAGACTCTTGGTGAAGTAATAGAAAGCCATTTGAAGATGAAAGATTTCCATGTACCCAGGAAGAGTAGCCGATCATTTTTAGTTAGTAAATGCAAACTTTAAATAAGTTCCTGAGTCTACCTATCCCCATAAAATGGATATCCTCTTTTGGACAGCATTAGAAATAGCAAGAGATCTTTGAGATTCGGTAAGTTATTTCATTTCTCTGAGCCTTAGTCCCTCTTTTGTAAAGTGAGGATAATAATTCCCACCCCCACGACTGCTGTGGTAATAATATGAAAGGAAGCATCTGGTGTAGTTTGTATAGGAGTCAGGTTGTGGTAATTGTAAAATAAATGGTAACTGCTGCACATGGAATTTCAAGACCTACTCCTCTGCTATCTGCCTGTTCTCTCCTTTCACACACCATGAGATCACCTTTTGGGGGCACACAGGATAAATGCAGACCATTGTTTCCCAAATTTGGCCTTTTTGATGAAGTTTATTGAATGTTTCTCATCGCTCGCCATAATGGTTTTGAGAAGCTAAATTCTTGTTCCTCAGATTTTGTTTATTTTGATTTCTCTTTCTGTGAAATGGAGACTCCTTCTCCCAAAGGAAATCTTAGATCATGCAGCATATTCAGGAGGATGCAACTAACGAGAGAAAAATAATTTATACCATTTTGGTGTTTTCGGTTGAAAATAATTTTGTTAGAGTTTAGCTGCATCTCGAGCAGATAAATAAACATTATTTTTAATTTATACTATACAAGCATTATGATAATGTTTTTCCTAGATTCCTCCCCTACTACTTCTGTCAAAATGTCATGTTCCCTTCTGTAAATAATCTTAACGTCTTCAAATTTTATACTAACGTCACATAAAGAGATTTGAGTATATTGTGTGGGTTAAAATTAGGTTCCATCATGAGCAACAGGGATCCAAAATAAGGGGTAGGGTAAATAAACTAAAATGTTAGTTCTTTCTCTTACATAAATCAGCACATAGGCAGTTAGGCACATAGGCAGCACATAGGCAGCACAGGATGGCAGGTGGCTCTGCTCATCATGTTTATGGAGTCTCTGGCTTCTGTCTTATTCCATGTGGCCCCCATTTCCCAGGTCACCTGATAGTGCAAAGTGACTCCTCTAGCTCTGGTCACCACATCCATCCTCCAATCATCAGGAAGGAAAAAGCTAAAGAATATGACGAGGGTAAAGAGTAGACACTAGGTGTCTTTTAGAGGAGACTTCCTGAAGCTTTCATGCATCCCGGCTTCCTTGAGCAGACGTTAGTCACACAGCCATACCCAACAACGCTGGCAAAGAAGTCTTTGTTCTGGGTTTGTGCCCAACTGAAAACTGATTGTCACATTAATGTGAAGAAAGTGAGAAACAGGTACTGAAAAACAACTTGCAATTTCTGCTGCAGCATTTTCGAATGCCTTTCCTTTTTCAAAGGCTTTAATTTCTCGATTATTTTCCTCCTGTTGGAAAGTCCATGCTCATTTAATCACAAACCTAAGTCAGGAAGGAAGCAGGCATTGCAGCTCCGTGTGCGACTGCAGAAAGACTTCTTAACACCTGTCTTTTTAATGGTGCCTCAGGAAAGAGACAAGGAAGCTGTCTAGTACAATAAAAAGGAAAACGGGACCCTTCAGGTCAGCCACAAAAAATAGCTACACAAATCCAAATAATAACTAGTAAACAGATAAATCTAGCTGGGTACAGTTAAGCAGTAAGACACAGAAGGCCACACTGCCGTGAGATAGCGCACCTCAGGGACACCACGAGGCAGGAAGAGTCGCGGGGCCTTTCGGAGAGTCCAGAAGAATCACGTTCTGCAGAATTGTGTGCCTGCAAGGGTTTATAGGGGCTGTAAAATGACTTCCAAAAAAACTAAAATTTCTTTGTAATTAAGACCACAATATAGGAAATAAGATGTACTCCAAATGCAGATGAGGGAACAAATTCTAAAGAGGGACGTAGATGGCACAGAGAAACACAGAAAATCATGAGTGATTTATTCTAGTCACAAAAAAATCCTTGAGGTAAAATTACAGGCATAACCGTGCAGCTTTAGAATATATCATTTGTTATGACGCAGAAGCAAATCTGTCATGGGTTCAGCTCTTCACTGGGCAACAGAGGAGCATTTCTCATGACATACTGTGAATCGGCCCAGACAGGCATCCTGCAGGAGTAGCATCTACCAGTACTGATAGGAAAAAATGGATTTCCATAAGTTTAGCAGCTCCTGTTAAATGGACAGATGCTGTCCTATGTCTGGCAATTCAGTTTATCTCAAAAATCTGTAGATTTCCTTAAGAGAGCAGACTCTACTCCCTTAGATCAATAATGCTAAAATGACAATATTAAACCCAGCTCCCTTCCCATTATGCCTCCAAATCATAGGTCCAAGTCTACAAGTGCAAATGAAATCAATATTTCAGGCTAAACCCGTATTTTTGCCTGAAATATGTTTTATCTTTATTATATCAATTACACTTGCTGATAATGTAACTCTCCTAGGTTTTTCAGTGGCTTTTGTTCTGTGTTGGTTTTTTTGTTTGCCACTACCACCAAACTTGGAAGGAAAGCATTTTCCCATAGTTAATTTCTCCATATCAACAATCTCAGTCTTATTTGCACATCCTTTGGAATAACCAAATATTCATATGGTATTTTTTCTTAACCATAATGGAGTAAGCCTGGTATAAGTAGTACAACAATTTGGATAGAACTAGAAAACATTTTGTAACTTGTAGCTGTAAGAACTCCAAAGCATTATATATTTCCCTCATAGGAGGGGCAGTCGGACCATCTTTGTCCCCTTAAGTCACAATGCTGCACGTATGATCTGGTTCCTGAAGAGCTTTTGTTTATATTTACTGAGCACTTACAAGCAGTCAGACCCCATATCCAGCATGTTAAATGCATTAAGTCATTTTGGTCTCACTGCAGACCTGTGAGGTAGGACTAAGAAAATAATTTGCCCATAATTCCAGTTGCTTGGCACCAGCAGAGCCTGCACTGTAACCTGTGGTTGCTGCACTGCAAACCACAGGCTCTGAGATCCATTCTGTTGTTTACTGTTTTTCTCCACTGTGGTTGGTAGGACAGAGAGAGAAGCCATGACAATCAGCATACAGGTTGAAATCCAATGGTTAGATAATATGCTTGCAGCTAATAAAACAAAAGGGCAAGCGACTTCCTAAGACCATTGCGGGACTTTTCTAGTAAGAAGAACTTTCAGGTTCTGACATGCGTAGAGTAAAACTGACCATAAACTTGGAGTCAACCTTTCTCCCAAGCAATCGTATTTGGAACCCTAGAATGTCATAATTGCCAGGGACCTTAGCAAGCCTTTAATCCTGAGATTATCAGCTAACTTTGGTAATGGACTCAGTTCACCAAAATTCTGTGAAGTGTTTAGCCATTACCCAGATTAAAAATGATTTAATCTGGGTGGCGCCTGTGGCTCAGTGAGTAGAGTGCCGGCCCCATATACCAAGGGTGCAGGTTCAAACCCAGCCCCGGCCAAACTGCAACCAAAAAATAGCTGGGTGCCTGTAGTCCAAGAGAGTTGCCTGAGTCCAAGAGCTGGAGGTTGCTGTGAGCTGTGACACCACGGCACTCTACCAAGGGCAACAAAGTGAGACTCTGTCTCTAAAAAGAAAAAGATTTAATCTGAAGGCCTTGAGGATGAAGGCTTGTAATACTCAGTTTGCCACAGGATTTGCCTCTTCCTGTGCATTGTTCTAATTCAGTCACACATTTGTGTCACCTGGTTGCCTTTTTAGGTATTTCTTGTTAAGCACCTGGTCAGTCTGAAATGCAACCAGCCATTTCCAGAAATAGCTTTTCTTTTTACAGAAGTCTTAATGCTTATGATAGAGATAGGCATGTATCAGAAAACTACTGAGAAGGGATGTGATCAGAAAGGCTGGTGGGTTTGGTGGCCATTAAACTCCAGGGAAGGAATAACATGGCAGCTGACAAGCCATCCCATGAAGCAGGTGAGACATCAGGCCCAGTTTTGTGTAGCGCCTTAGTTTATAGGTGAGGAGCCTGAAGCCTAATTGGAATAAACCACTTCAAGGTTAATGCCCAGGCCTTCTCCAACCCCAAATCCAGTGTGTTCTCATGATAGACACTGCCTCTGAAATTTTGGGCATACCACTGTAATATCAGTTTTACTTGATAAAATCAGTTTTAAATAATTTTCAACAGTACTCAAGTGGTAACATCAGTATATGTCCTGTGTATAAGTAATCAATGTTTTCTCAAATTTACTTACACCTGATGCTAATAATAGTTTTACTCTTAAGTACATAAAGTAACTATACACCCTTGGTACTTACAGCAGTGGTTTTAGAATCTTTTTTAGCCCAAGTGCAGGTGATACTTAGCAGGATTGCGGTGGATCCTCTGGGGAAGTGGTGGTTTGGGATCATTAAGATGACCAGAGGCCACTTAGACTAGTGTGTCGCCTTGCTCAGTGTGGTTTGCTCTCTCTCACCTTCAGCTACCGTGCCTTAGCAGTCCCTGCTGCTAACGGATAATGACGTGCACAGCGCCAGGAAAACAGGTCTGGCTATTTTTTTTAACTTCAGATTAAATGTAGTCAGATCTTTGGCATTCTTTCCCCCATGATAAAACGATACCATCATGCTGTCTTTTTCATATTAGAAGAATTAACCCTATATTTTCAGTGAGTCCTATTTTTTGAGAGCTATGACCTGTTAGCAAGGTCTGTTTCTTTCTTAGAAGAAAAAGGTTTGTGAGGGAGGGCAGATGGTCCCGGTCCTCCCGAGAGCCAGAATTCTAGACTGTGACATCTAACATGGGGAGACTTTCGTTTCTAAAGTCTTACTGGGGGACAAGGCTAGGTCTTGCCTCTGTAACAGACAGAGTAGCTGCTCTTGTGCATGTTCTGTGTTACAACATCTTGGGAAGCTGCCCTCAGTTACAATCCACAGCTTGATTGAAGAGAATGAGAATATTATAAAACAATGCAAGCAATTATTTTCTGTCTACGGGATTTAGCTCATTTAAGTTACTGACTGTAAGACCAATGTCCCATGTCTAAAGCCTTCCATCTCCCCTCTGCCACGTGCTGAGTTGGACAAGGCAACCAGTGATGAACAGAGAGTTCTCAGGGTCAATAACTTGTGTGCCCACGAATGAACTTTTGCCTTACCTTCAATAATAGTAACAGCCGTTGAAATTTGGGTTCTCGTATAAAAACTCTATAGAGCATGTTGATTTATTTCATTCCTTTTTTTTTCTCCTTTACCCATCTGAAGAACTTATCTGGTTATTCTGTTTTGCTGCTAAAAATTGTGGTTTCTGGAGCTTTTAGGTCCCCTTTTCCCTTGCAAATCCACACTCTGTGCTTCTGTTTCCATATCCTCACCTTGCAAATGAGAGTGATTGTGTTTTCCCACCCAATAGGTACTATTAATATTTATCTACCTCACAGTCAAGTTTTATTAATTACTTAATTAGCAGTACTGAAAACAATTAGTGTTTGGGAACCAAAAGTGTTATATACATGCTAAGAACAAAAATTAGCGTAAGTAAGACACAGAGAGAAATTGAATTCTAAATAAAGAAAACACATTTAGGCTTTTAATTTGAGCAGTGGGTAGGCCCCAGATGGCCTCTACCAAGTGATGTGTGTACCAGCAAGAAAAAAGGCACACGCCTGTCTCTACTCTCTTAGATCTTTCACCCATGTGCCTCATTCCAAACCTGGCATTTCTTCTGTTTGGATTTGTAGGGACCAAGTGGTTGAAAGCATAAGCTTTACCCATTTAACAAAGGTGAGGAAAGTAGAAACTGTGTGGTGGGGCACATGTTGGCCTGTTTCTTCAACTCGTTTAAATAGAAGTAATATTCCTGGACATCATGAGGCATGCTCAGGCAGAACCTCAGAAGCTGGATCTCTCTAGCTTCAAAGTTAGTTTGATGCAAGTTAGTTTGATGAACAGGCCCACTCCCTTCTGTGACTGCTATTTAGACCTGGGGGGGTGGTCACAACTGTTGACTGGTGCCCTCACTTGCCTGCAAAGTATTAAGTAAAGCCAATAATATCCCCGTGTCAGAATAACAGAAATCTGCAAACTACAACTATTGGGAAAGTTAAACTCTCTTTATTTCACCAAGAGTAGAATTTGTCATCATAATCCCCTTTAGCAAAATAATTGCAAATGCTTATTAAGCTCCTACATAATGTGACGCTCTGCTGGGTGACAGAATAAAAAGAGCATAAGGACAATATACTTGTGTGGTTGTTTCTTTCTGCATCCTCTTGTGCTTGCCTGGTGAGAAACATGTCCTGTAATTGACAAGGTAAGTCCAAAGCACAAGAGATAAAATGAATACAAAGTAGTATATGCTGAGGGTCATAGAAGGGGCATTGAGGGCTGACTGGAGTTCAGAAAGGAGGCAGGCCTCAGAGGATGCCAGGCAAAGTGTCATCAAGGAGGTGTTATGGCTTGAATCAGATGTCAGTCAAAGTGCCTAAGGTGGACTGGAAGAGGGAGGTGGGGAAGGAGGAAAAGCATAGTGGAGGAGGGGAGCAGATGGCAGGAATGAATAGTTTTGCAGAACAACAAGCCAGGCCTTTGTTCTCTGCACAGTGAGAACAGAAGACTTAAAATCAGGAAATAGTGAAAGATAAAGTTTGAAATGGAGAATAGGGTCAGCTTCCTAAGAACCTTGAATTTGGGCTTTATTCTACTGAGTCTATCTTGAAACCCCATCAAAGAGGGTATGGACATTTAAGTACCACAAGTACCTTTATCACGGTCAGTTTGGAAGGCAGTTCCCCTGGGTCACCTTCCTCCTAGGAGCTGGGGAAAAGGTCTCTGGTGTTTGAACTAGTCAAAAGAGCTGCTCCAAAAGGATGCCAGCCAGGGTAGGGTTACTGTGCTTCTTCCCCAGAACTGAGACCAAAATGCCCCAGAAGATATGGAAATCTGCTGGTTCAGAGGACGTGCAGCCTTTTGAAAGCATTCACTTTGGAGAGTTACTTGTCTCCCACGAAAGGCCTCACTGACTATCAGCCACAGAGCCAAGAATTTCAACTTGTTTCCACAAATGGCTATGAAAGGCTCCATCAAAAGTGATAGTTTCTTTAGTTCATCAAATTTCTATTCACTGCAAAAACATTGTTATTGTCCTTGTGGTTTGAGCTTTATGATTGCTTTTATGAAGACAGTGAAAAGGCGATATATATAGGTGGAAACTTAAATTGACTTTGTATCGCTAAGATTTACTGTCTTCAAAAATAGCATGCTAGATTAATGCATTTCTGATTTCAAGGTGCTTTTTTGAAAAAATTGGTCTTCCTTGCACATAATAATTCTATCAGACCATGGTCTGTGGGAGAAAACGCTTTGTGTGATTTATTTCTGGGACCTTTGAAGAATAAAAATACTATTTTCTACTAATGTATCTGAAAAATCATATAAAATATGGTGATAATATGCAAAGACATCTTTCAGTTATAGACTTTTGACCCTTCCCCTTGTTTCTTGTAGGATCTAAGGGAAGAATGTGTAAAGTTGAAAACAAGAGTGTTTGATTTGGAACAACAAAACCGAACGTTAAGCATCCTGTTCCAACAGCGTGTCAGACCAACTTCTGATCTGCTCCTGCAGGTATGTGTTTGTCTGGAAAACTGGCTTTGCTACTGAAATGCTATTGATAGGAACTTACGTAAGTGCAGAAGTTACCAGTGTCTCCGTGAGCAAGGCACGGTGCATCAGAACCCCAGTTCTTTCTTCTCTCAGGAGATATCATTAAAAATGAACATCTCCTAAATTCTTGACTTTTTAAAGCTACATGCAGATAAAGAAATGCACCGACGGAGAATGTCTGGGTAAAAGGGACACTCAGAAGAGTTCTCTGGGAAACTAAGTAGAAGCATGGAATGGAGTTAGGAAATAATTGATTGCTCTGGAGCCGGTATTAATAATCTTGCATTCTGTGATAAGCAAGGAAAAGTTTTATGCAGCACCAAAGCACATTTTTTTTTTATTTCAAACTCTTTATTAATCAAAAATAAGCTGGGGTTTGTTTTCTTTTCATATCTCTCTCTTTGCAGACTTTCTCCTCACAACACATTTCTTGTATTCTATCTCAGTATTTTTACAGGTTGTCTTTGTCTAAGTGCTCTCGCTGAACTCTGGTTTTACTTGCCTTCATGACACAGAAAGTTGTGAAGCGTCAAACCATTTGGATCATTTTGAAGCTGTTTGTGGCAAAGCACTAGAGAATAAGTTCCACTCCAGGGAAACACATGAATTGGGAGAAGGGGCTGGAGGACTGACCTTTGCTGTTTCTGATTTTTTTGATCCGATTAATGTGTATATTTGCTCAAACAAGCTCCCTGGAGCTTCCCTTGGAGGCTTTCTGAGGCTGAGAGCTGTCAAAGGCTGCGCTGAGGTTTCACAGGGCAGTGTGCAGTATACAAAGAAAAGGGTAAGCTACTGCTGCTTGGTCTGATCGCCTGAGAGGAAGGTCCTTCTCCACCCTCTGATCCTCAAGATGGCAGTTAGCATTGTAACCTCTAGCCATGGAGGGCTGTTTAAATTTTAATTTTAAAAAATTTAAATTAAGTTCCGTGTCCAACTAGCTACATTTCAAATGTTCAAAAACCATATGTAGCCAGCAGCTTTTGTGTTGGACAGTGCGTAAGTGAAATATTTCCATCAACACAGAAAGCTATCCTGGACAGAATTTTTCCAAATGGTCGAGACTGTGTTGCCAATTTGCCCTGTCAATTTTGGCGTAAACATCTTAGGAGTCCTCGGAGACATAATGGGAAATTGCAATTCATTTCAGAGAAAGAAAGATGTTTGGTAAAGCTAAACATCAAAATGTAATTTGCCCCCAAATTAAAATAAAACAGTTCTCTGAATTACAAAATAGATCTCATCTCAAATTAATTTCCTTTCTGCTTTATCTGTTGGAAAATAATTCATAATTTATGACTCAAAAATTGTGTAGGGGGGGAGTAATCTATCTCCATTCGGTGTCCTGATCTTGACACCAAAAATGTTTGTCATAGGGGATTTTGTATTTATAAAAAGTTGTGTTGCTTTTACAATCTCATAATCAAGATCCAATATTATAATTACTTTTAAAAGCTGCTGCATGTTTATGAATTTTTCTGTTTTGCCTAGTTTAACTTGCAGTTTTTCTGGAAGGATGTTTAAGGATCTGCATTCCCTGTTTGTGAATCATGATAATTTATTTGCACAGTAAACACATATGTGGCAGATATTTAAGCTTTTACACTGGCTGTCACAAATTTCGTAAATCCATACCCCAATGGCAAGGGACGATATGCATGCTAACAGGAGAACTCTAGAGTTTATTCATCGGGTGTTTTCAGCCGACATACTTTATATTCCTCCCCAAATAGTCCTCACTTACAGGAGCTATTCTAATTTAAATAATATTTATAAAAAAGGGACTGTTAATAGTGCTGTGAAGAATAATGATAGAAAATGGGACGCTTGCCCTCTAACATCTTAGAGCTCACAATCACAGAGGAGGACGCTGGCTTCTCAAGTAGTCCGTTAATTATTTCTCTTGTGGCTTTTCGTTTTCTGGTGGTACTTTGGGGTTTAACTGAGAAACAAAGACATACCATGGAGCTGAAATAAAAGCAATCTGAGCTTGGTTTATGGATGCTTAGTAATTGTTTGTTGAATGGAATAAATGAATAAATGATAAATCATTCTTCAAGTTGGGAGGTTATTTTGCATAAACCTATGCCTCACCTCTTTTAATAACGTTGTGCTGTCTTATGTGGATTCTTGGACACTATGCAGCCATGTGGGTCCAGCCCAGTCTGTTTAAGTATGTGGCAAGCGTATGCAGCACATCTCCCAGTGTGCACTTGGACCCAAGTATTATGGATGCTGTAGTGGCTTCCGTGGACTTGCAGATTCAGTATAGCACATTTCTAAGTAGTTTTTTGCGTGTCTTAGAAAGCCGTGTTGGTATTATCTGCTGAGTACAGCCCAATGGTTCTCTATGATCCAAATATAGACAGAAGAGCTTTAACACTTTTGTTATTTGGACAAATTGTAAATGGTAGAAAAGAAAATATAAGTACTAGTCAACTCCTTGTACCTTGATTATAGGAAATGAGAAGTTATCATGAATGTCATTTAGCAAATCATTATGTAGGAGAAACAGAAAGAGGATAGCTCTGTGGATTAATTGACAGATTGTGGTAAATTTAAGAAAGGTAGCCATGTCCATGAGGGAAAGAAAATAAAGGCCTAACCTTAAAATTAAAATTTTAAGATTGACAAAAAACTCCTTTACTGATTCCAGTTCCTAGAATGATGTCTCTGGGACGATGGGTGATAACAAATCATATTTAAACCTCTTCGCCTCTCCCCTCACCCCCCTCCCAATTAAAATCAATAATTAGGCCCAAATTCCAAAGAATGGAGAAGCCTGCATAGAAAATAAATTCTGAAAGTAAGGCTCTTACAGGGACTGGTGCCTCTAACTAATCACATTTTAACCTAATTGGCCAGATTAACCAATGCTCACCGTTTCCTCTTATAGACCACGCTAAACAACACGCTCACCTGTGGGTGGGGGCTGTTCATCCCTATCATAGAATATTGGCAACTTTCCGCTAAGTGTCTGTTTCTCTTGGTGAGGTGAATGCTAACCAAGCAATTGTTACATTTGTAACTCAGTAGTCTCACATACTACTTTAATGGTAATTATGTAATTAAAACAGTTTTAATCAATTTTATATGTATTACATAAACCAATGTACTATGATGTAAAAAGAAGATTATTTATGTAAAACAAAGATGGATGTCCAAAGCCTTCTATAAAGGTAAGCTGCTAAAAATAAAAAAAAAAATGTGGTGATTTAAATTAAAATAGGTGCCTAACTATAAAAAAAAACTGTGGGAAACCAGGCATTATATTGAAAGTAGAGGGAGTCTTCATGCAAACTTTTCTTCAAATGGTTGTACGTTCTATTCCATTGTTGAGAAGAAAAACTAGAAATCACAGACAATGCACAAAGTATATATTTGATACCCCCCCAAAAATAATATAAGATTCTGATGATAGGAACTCTAGGCAAAGAAGCAGATTTGGCCCTACAAAAAATGTTATGTAACAAATTCATAATGGTTTCCATGTTTAAAATACTGTCCCACGATCTTTATAGCATTTACCAATTTAGTTTCTACTGCAGTCCTGTGGGGTCGGCCTCTCATTACACTCATTTTACCTTGACAGAGAGAGCAGAGCAAGGATTTAAACATGAAAACTTAGGGAAATTGAGTCCCCTTCTTATACCTCCCTTTAGTGCTCCCCCTGCATCAGAATGAGCACAAGGACCATTTTTCTGATACTCTACTCTAAGTGACATTTTAATTAACAGGCCACCTGTGACCAAGTTCGATCAGAAGGCTTCCCCAGTGCAATAATCCTACAAAGGCCGCCATGTTTACACGTTTGTGAAACGTGGAATCTAAGATTTTCTCTTCCCTGTATGTTCTGTCTTTGTCACATTTTGAACACCTGGTTATCATTATCCTGCTAGGACATTAGTCTTACGTTTTCAGCCTAAGACAGTTTTTTCTTTTATTTTTCATCTGCTATTTCAAAGGGTCTTTCTACCCATACCCTTAGGCTAAGATTGGAAGAAAAGAGTGTTACACTGTCGATTATTCCCATAAACAGTACAGGGCCTGACAGCTTAGAACCAAGGTGCAAAACTTTGCTGTCCCTTCTTTGAGTGCTGACTTCTTTTGTTTTTGCTAGTGTTTTACATTGTGATTTCTGATGAGATGAGAAATTTATTGTTCCTCTGATTTATTTTTTTTCTCCTCTAAGGCTTTATTTCAAAGTGTGTATCCGTCCATGTGTGTGATTTAGCAGGACACTGCACACTCACTTCTCCTCCTGTTCACAAGGAGTGCCTCCCTCTCTGAGATCCAGCCTGATTCCACCACCCATCAGGAGTCATCCAGGGTCATAGCAGTTGGCACTGAACTCCCTTGCTGGAGTTCACGTACTATTGGTGACTTACTGCACACAAGTAGGTGGTTCATGCCCCACACAGAGTTATGGAATTCTAGCTTCCCGTGGGAGGGGGACCGTCTGGTGCAGCCCAAGTATCCAGGGATTTCTTATTAACTTTTCATTTCAACTCAGTAGTAATCTCTTTGAAAACAAGAGTTATGCTCAATGTTACTTTTTACCCACCCAGATGCTATCACTCTTCATAGTATGTATTAGGCATGTACTGGTTGATGGCTTAACATTTAATTATATACATCTTTTTTTTTTTTTTTTTGCAGTTTTTGGCTAGGGCCGGGTATGAACACGTCACCTCTAGTACATGGGGCCAGCATCCTATTCCTTTGAGCCATAGGCACTGCCCTAATTATATACATCTTTTTCCTGAGATTTAGTTTGGTGGAAAAATGTCCCTTAGAGTAAAGTATCAGAAAAATGGTCCTTGTGCTCAATTCATGTCCAATGCAGGGGAGCACCAAGTGGAGTTAAAAGAAGGGGACTCGGTTTCACCAAGGTTTCATGTTCAAATCCTTGGAATGAAATTATAGGTCTCTTGGTGACATGAGCATAGCTGCTTCTGTCCACT